GGAGCAATTAGAATACTTGAACACAGTTGGTGTGAATGTAAAATGGTACAGCTTCTGTGGAAAATTGTATGATGCTTCCTCAAAGAATTAAAAATAGAACTACACTATGATCTGGCAATTCCACTTCTGAGTATATACCCCCAAAGAATTGAAAGCAGATTTTTGAAGAGATATTTGTATACCCATGTTCATAGCAGCATTATTCAAAATAGCTAAAATGTGAAAAGCAACCTAAGGGCCTATGATGGATGAATGGATAATCAAATTGCTTTATGCAAAATAAAAAATGCATACAGTTGTCCCCTGTTATCTGCAGTTTTATTTTCCATGGTTTTAGTTACCCTTGATCCCTGGTAGGAGGTGTGGAGGAGGCAGCCGACAGATGTTTTTCTCTAACATCAATATTTCTCTCTCTCTCTCTCTCTCTCTCTCTCTCTCTCTCTCTCTTCCTCCCTCCCTCTCCCTCTCCCTTCTCTCTCTAAAAATCAATACAAATATTTTTTAAAAGAAAGCAGTGCCACCAGCTGTCAGACTCTTGTTATGAGTCCACACTTTGCATACAGAGAGTTCCTATTCCGTTTGTTCATATTCTCCCACCATTGACCTAGAGTAGCATACTGTCTTGTGTTGGGATGTGTCTGGAGCAAAGTGCCATATTAGTGACCCTTCCTGGACCACGACTTTGACTGTTACTGACTCTCATCTTTGAAAGAAGCCCAAAAAAGGCAGAATCAAGTCTTAAACCATCACCCAGACAAGCAAGATAACATAGGAAGCTCCTCCTGTGTCCAGGGTTCAAGCTGTCCTCTGCCCATCCCCTACCCCTAATAAGAACCCAACTGCTCACTAATACACCTCTTCCCAAAATAACTACATCAGAAAAAGGAATGTATTTTTTCATTGGCTAACATTCACTCTTTAGAATCACTGACCAAGTTATTATTGCTTGAACTGTTTTCTCTTGCAAAGGAGACCACATTTGGCAATACTAGACACAACATTCTTGTGGTCTCATCAGCAAGATGAGAACAGCGTTGCTACTTTTGCTTCCTTGTAAACCTTTTAGTTCATAAATAAACTTGAGGTTTGCTCTCCTTTCAATATCTCTCAAAGAGAAACACAAACAAAATAGAAATGCCTTGCATGCAGTGTAAAGCCTCATGTAGGAGTAAACTAAAAAAAAAAAACGAAGCTTTTCCAAAGAGACCATCAGGTTATCTATTTCAAGTTCTCACTCTTGCTGTCTAAACATTTAGTGAACAGCTTACCCAGTTATAGCTTCTTTTTCCTATAGTTATTTTCTACACTCTCCCTAGAGTGATCTTAATAAAACTCAAGTTTATTTATCTTCTTTCTCCCCCATTTAATACCTTTTATTAGCTCTCTATTTTTCTCATTTTAGAATGGCACATGATAAGGTTCATGATGAGGTCCCTGTCTATTCTCTAGCTCAATTCCTACCAATCTTTCCCTATTTGTGCTGTAATAATACCAACCAACTTGTAGCTCTCAGAAGACATTTGTCTGTTTCAGTACTCATAGAATGCCTAAGAAAACACCTCTTCCTTCCCCTATTTATCTGGTGGGCTCCTATTAATTTTTCAAAACCCTTCTTGGCCTTCAATTTCCCCAGAAAAAGTTCCCCAACTCAAAGTTAACTCCCTTTTTTTTATTCCCTCACCCGAGGACAATTTTTTTGTTTTTTGTTCAGATAGAGTGGGAGAGAGAGAGGGAGGAAGGGAGAGAGAGAGAGAGGGAGGGAGAGATAGAGAGGGAGGGAGAGAGAGACAGAGAGAAACATCGACATGAAAGGAACACATCAAGTGGCTGCCACCCGCACAACCCAACCAGGGCCGGGAACAAACTGCAACCGAGGTACATGCCCCTAGCGGGAACCGAACTCGGGTCTCTCTGGACCGCAGGCCAACACTCTAACTGCTGAGCCAAATCGGCCAGGGCTTAATTCCCTCTTTTGTGCACTTATTCCCATTTTACTCATTCATTTATTTGACAAATTCAATAACATTTGACAAATATTTACTGGACTACTCAATACATGTCAAGTGCTGTGCTGGGGAATCTCATCATCTCTTTGTCATCCTGGCTAATACTCCCAGGTGCCAGGCACTGTTTTAAATAATATACATTTATTAATTCATTGACCTGAGCAAAAACTCTATAAAGTAGATACTCTAACTATAGCCCTCATATAAATGAAGCAACTAAATCCAGAGAGAATAAGTAGTTTGCCCATGGTCACCCTGGCAGTGCAGCTTTAAAGTGCGTGTTCAATTCAGACCTTGTTGATATCATGGTAGAGATAACAAGTCTAATAAGGAAGACTAACATTAACAAGCAATTATAACAAAATGTGATGAAAGAAAGAATATAAGATGCTATGGAAGCATGCACCTAGAAACCTAACCTATTCAATTAGTGAGGCTTCATTGAGAAAGATGTGTTTGAGGCTGAGTGGTGAAGGATGAGTATAGAAACTGTCTACTTCAACATTAGATAGACTTCCAAACTACTTAGTCACCTCCATAGACAGGACCTATCCTATTGCTAGGCACACCAAGTGTAAGAATGTATTTATTAAATGAATAAATAAATTAAAATGTTAGGAGTCTTCTCTGAGCTCTACCAGAAGCTTTAAGCATTTTCTTATTTAGCCTGGCCAGTGTGGCTCAGTGGTTGAGCATTGACCCATGCACCAAGAGGTCACCAGTTCGATTCCCAGTTGGGGCACATGCCCAGGTTGTGGGCCTGATCCCCAGTGGAGGGCATGCAGGAGGCCATCAATCGATGTTCTCTCTCTCCTTCTCCCTTCCTGTCTCTCTCATATCAATAAAGATAAATAAATAAATAAATAAATAAATAAATAAATGTTTTCTTATTTAATCTGTATATAACAATCCTACAAGGCAGTTATTTTTTTCCTTCCACATTACCGATTGAGAACCTGAACTTCAGTTCATTCACGGACATTTGTGAATTTCAGAATTCCTTGCTGATCCACTGCAATTTCCAAATTGACTCATGGACAGCTCTTTGATTTTTTTTTTTTTTTTTAATCCTCACCCGAGGATCTGTTTTTATTGATTTTCTAGAGAGAGGAAAGGGAAGGGAGAGAGAGAGAGAAACATTGATGTGATAGAGAAACATCAATTGGTTGCCTCCGGTACACGCCCAGATCAGGAATTGTACCTACAACCTGGATATGTGCCCTGAATGGAAATCAAAACTGTGACCTTTTGGTGTACAGGATGATGCTCCAACCAACTAAGCCACACTGGTCAAGGCGAGCTCTTTGACTTTTAAATAATTTATAATGTTATTTTTGAAATAACACTCTGCCAAGCCACCCCCTCCCAAGTAATCAACAAAAAGAAAAAACAAAACCTGAAGACTTGTATACATATATCTTTTGTTCTTCAAAACACTTGGTCTTCCTGCCACCCTATGACCTCTGAAACTACACTTGCCAGAGGCTCTAATGATCGCAATGTTGCGAAATCCATTGGTCACTTCTGTGTCTTCACTATCTGACTTCCATGGAGCATTTGCTATTGTTGACCACTTCCTTTCAGTTGTAAACTTTCTTCTCTTGAATTCTATGACATCACCATCTTTCCTAACAGGTTGCTCCTTCTCAGTCTCTTGCTGGCTCTTCCCCCTCTGCCCAACTTTGAAATGTTGAAAATTCTCATAGCCAGTTCTCTGTCTACATCTTTGTTTTGATAATCTCATCTAGTCCCAAGGTTTTAAGTTTCATGTATAAATTCATAACTGCCACATTTATGTCTCCAGCCTAAACTTCATTACAGACCAATATATTCATCTGTTTACTTGACATTATCATTTGGGTATGTAATAGGCATCTTGGACTTCATTATTGTCAATGCTCTCCAGCCAAAGACTACTAAGAACACAACTATAGTTGAACAAGTTGTTTCAGTAAGAATGCACACTCTGGAGAACCATGGGGCATCTCAGTAAGAGGGTGTTAGAAATTTGGGCTTGTGTTAGATGATTTAGGGAAGAGTTCAAGAAAGAGGATTTTACTCTGGATTGGAAGCTGTAGGAAGGCAGGGGTTATTGATATTTTAATTAGTATTATCTAGAAGGACTCAGGCTAAAACTGTAATTGATGAAGAAGCAGCAATCATTCATATTAGCCAGGCTAGGAAAGTGTTTCTCATTTTGCGGGGGTTTGGACAATGTTTTGTCTGTGTTCAGACATGATTACAGAGTGATCTCATTTCTGTTTTGATCCATCATGGTCTCAGACTGGCCTTGTCTGATGTTGATGTTTTGTGCAAGTTTCCCCCCTCAAACATTCCTGATTCTGCATTTTCTTTATCCTTTGGCTGGTAATCTCTTTCCTTGTAGGCTCTCATCATGGTGCCTCCTTCCTAGTCATTATCACATCATTCCTAGCTGAAAGAATGTTCATTTATTCGCTTATTGTCACCGTCTTACTGGAATTGAGTTTCTTAAAGTTTTTTTCTGTCGTGTTCATCACTGCAACTCCAACTTCTATAAACCTGCATTAGAGCCAAGGGCTCAATAAATGCAGACTGAATGCCACTGGGCCTATTTCTGCGAATACAATCATAAATAACCAGCAGTTGCATTTTTTAAAAACTAAGTAGGGCATTCAATACAAAGAAGTAAAAGCAGGGAGTCAAAATGAGTCTTGTATACAGACTGCCCACTGCCCAACGTCGTGTGTGACAATATGTAGGGATGTATTAAGACTCCAGGGCCCGAGATTCTCCTGTTCCTGAATTATCTTTTTTCCTGAAGATTGTGTAGGATATTTAACTTAACGGCTCACTCTACTTTTTAATGAAGGATTATTCCCAGATTTTATTTCTGTAACCGCTCTCCGCTAGCCACCGCCGTGGAAGTAACCCAACCCCCTTACGCAGGCGCCCAAGCGTAATCCCCGGCGCCGAGTGCTTTACACTGCGCATGAGCAAATAGAAGCACCGAGGCGGGAAGTGTTGCGCAGGCGCGTTTAGCAGATTCGCTAGGTGGGTCGCTTTTGGAAGCGGCGACCCCGGCATTTGGGGAGCCACGGAAGTCGTATTCCCTTAAACCGTGAGTTTCCGACGGTTTGTTCCATGGTGAGGGATTGTGAGGGATTAGAAACGAATTCTCACTTCGGTCCTGCCGCAGCGCAGTGTCTACGACCCGGTCCTAGGATCCCGCGGGCCTGCGGCGGGAAAGTCTTGCGCCTGCGCGCTAAACATCCCGTTCGGTCCCGGGTCTGCGGGAGGAAGGTCCTTCTCCGCTGAGCTCGCGGTCCGCGCTCTTGGGGATCCCATTCATTCTCCCTTCCTCCTTCCGGCGCTCGTGGCCAGTATGATATCAGTTCTCCACCAACTTGCATGGGGCCTTGGACTAGTTTCCTGGCGCGCCCTTCTAGTAGTCTAACGATTTCCTCCTGTCCTCTTCCTTAGGTCAAACCGCTCACCCCACTAAGGCCTCTCCCAACCCCCATGCGCTAGAAGCCTGGCGCCTGGGCAAGGATGGTCCTGGGAACGCAACCTCTCATACCCGCTGCCCGGAGCCCCCAGCCCCCAGCCCCCGGAAATTCCCTTCGGCTCCCTGCCGATATTTTTGGAAGGGGAAAGTGAACCAAATGGAATCCTTAGAAATGGCTCACAGTTTTCTTCCTTTGGGGATTTTAACACATGGTTAGTTTTTAAATGTTTTCCCTGTAGGGGCAGTGGCATTTTTAGTGCTTGGTTGAGTGATTTAAACTTCTGTCTTCGGTGTTCTAATTTTCACAGCTGCTTTGTTCCCCCTGTGGACATGACCCCTTAGCTGGCATTTTGCATCCCAGTTGTTTTTGTGATGGAGGCATCTTTGGGGATTCAGGTGGATGAACCTATGGCTTTTTCTCCCCTGCGTGACCGGTTACAGGCGGATGGCTCATTTAAAAAACATGGACAGAATTTTAAACTACCAGGTATGTGTGTTATTTCAAAGGTGCACAGGCAACAATTCTGTAATTTCGATAATTTAAAAAACACAAAACCTCCTGAATCTTAAAGTGAGTTGTATGTATAAATGAAAGCATTTTTACAAATCAGTAAAGCTTCCTAAGGTTTAGATTTAGGACTGAAGTGCGTTTTAGAAAGGATTGTAGTTAAGCCATGTCATTTTACAGAAGTTGCTTCTAAATATTACTGATTGTCTATCAGAACACAAAATATGTTGATACCCAAAGTATAAGTTCTCTTCTCTTAGACTTATGTCCTTATGTCTGTCTACTCACCGTATTACATTAAGCTTGGGTTTTCCAGTTAAATATTCAAAAGCAGTATTCAGTGACAACAGTAAATGAAATGTTTGTAGCAGTAATAAAGCATTGTATCTCGGTGTACAGCATGAAATGTTATTTGACCCTACCCAGACCTTGAAGTGAGAGGGTCTAACAGTTCCTGATCTTGTACAAATGTACACCTTCATTTTTGCTCTAGCACAGTGCCTGGGACATAGTAGATATTTAATAAATACTTGTTAAATGGAGGAGTTCCAGTTAACTATTTTTTTCCCTAAAAGGTAGCTTAATCTTATTTTCCCTCTTTGTCTTAAGCATATTTAATGCTTGTCCAAAAGATACTCATTTTGACTATGTATGATGTGTACTTATACACTACAAAATAGACGTTAACCCCATCCTAGAAAAAGAATGATATCACATACTTTATTTATTTATTTAATCCTCACCTGAGCACATTTTTTGTATTTATTTTCAGATAGAGCAGGAGAGAGAGAGGGATAAGAGAGAGAAAGAGAAACATTGATGCGAAAGAGACACATTGACTGGTTGCCACCCACATGACCCCCCCCTGGGGGGGCGGGGACAAACTGCAACCAAGGTACGTTCCCCTAGCAGGAACCAACCCAGGACTCTGGTCTGAGGGCCAACACTCTAACCTCTGAACCAGACGGGCCAGGGTGACATCACATACTTAAAAAAAATAAAGCTCTGGCTGGTTTGGCTTAGCAGTTAACCCGAGGACCAAAGAGTCACAGGTTTGATTCTGGTCAAGGGCACATACCCCAGCCCTGGTTGGGGTCAGGCGGGAGGTGGTGACCAGTCGATGTGTCTCTCTCACATTGATGTTTCTCTTCTCTTTCCCTCTCTCCTGACCCCCACCCCCAATCTGAAGATAAATAGAAAAATATCCTCGGGTGAGGATTTTTCAAAAAGCAAGAAATTTTGAAACAGGGCAATTAAAAAAATTTATTGATTGATTTTGAGAGAGAGAAACATTGATTTGTTCCATTTATTTATACATTCATTGGTGCTTGTATGTATTCTTGACTGGAGATCCAATCTGCAACCTTTGCATATTGGGATGATGCTCTAACCGACTGAGCTAACTCACCAGGATTGACATCACATACTTTTGATTTCTGACCAAAACTAAACTCCCCTGTCAAAATGAGTACCCTTCTTGATGTCCCCATTTTTGGTGATAAAAGCCACTATTATTCCATTTATTTATGCTTAAAACTTTAAAGTTGTCTTCCACTTTTTTTTTTTGGTGGTACGTGCCCCTAGCAGGAACTGAACCCGGGACTCTCTGGTCCGCAGACCGATGCTCAACCGCTGAGCCACACTGGCCAGGGCTGTCTTCCACTTTTATATTTGCTTCCCATATCCAGTCACCCAACTTTATCTTATTTTTATTTTCATGTGTGGCATTACCTCTTATTCCTATTTCTACTTCCAATACATTAATTCATTCTTTTATACTTTGCTCTTGGATTATGACAAAGTGTGCTACCTAAACTGACTGCTTTTTCCTTTTCCTGTCTTCCAGTGCATCCTTTACACTGCTACTAGAATAATCGTAAAATGCCACTTTCATGGATGCTGTCCCCCATTTCCCTTTTTTGTTTTTTTAATTACCTGTTTTTCATGGTCCAGCTTTCCCTTATGTTTTTGGGCACATAATAGGTAATACAATCATTGTATTATTTTTCTTGTATTGTTTAGCACTCTGTGTATTTTGTCTCTTCAATTATACTATGAGCTTGAAGGCAGTATCTCATAAAGCTCCTAATATATGTTGTACATTAGGCAGAATGTATGAATAGATGAATCTGACTTGGTTCTAGCATTATGTTCAGGTGAAAGCTACTATTTTAATATTCTGCTGGAAATCTGGGAAATAAAGAGTGGGACGAATTTTATTTTAAATTTCTAAAGTTTTGTGGCTTTTATGTAACAGAACATTGAACATTATAAACAGTGTCTTTGATAATTCATAGGACATGTTGAAATGTTTTTCATGTGGTTCTTTTTTATATGACCCCGAGTGAAAGCTAAGGTTATATCAAAAACATAACTTTAGTAAGGAGAGTAAAGCTGATGGGGTCCAGGCACATGTCTCATGATCTAATGTGATTTATTTTCCCTTGATGGAATTACTTTGAATGGTGGGACTTTTTCTATATCTTTATAGTCCCAAAACCTAGTAGTGTACAGCACATAGTAGATGCTTGAAAATATTGAATAAACAGTTTAATGCAAGGATATAAAGTGTAATGGGTGAATAGCATGACTCTTTGTTTTGGGTTATTTGTCAGTCTTTTATGATTTTTTGTCTGATAAAAATTATACATGCTTATTGAAGAAAATTTAGAAAATACAGAAAACCAAAATAAAATACCCCACTATCAAAATACTGCCACCATTGTGTATCCCTTTAGTCTTCCTGTGCATACAGGTATATACTTAAAAAATATTTTTTTATTACAGGTAACATACAATATTATATTAGGTTCAGTGTACAACAATAATGAATAGATGTTTATATAATTTACGAAGTGAACATACTGATGAGTCTAGTACCCATCTGACACCATAATTCCCTATGCTGTACTTTACATTCCTGTGACTATGTTTATAATTGGTAATTTGTACTTCTTTTTTTTTTTTTTTAATCCTCACCCGAGGACATTTTTTCCATTTTTTGTTCAGATAGAGAGAGAGGGAGAGAGAGGAAGAGAGAGAGAGAGAAACATCGACGTGAAGGGACACATCGAGTGGCTGCCGGTAATTTGTACTTCTTAATCCCTTCACCTTTTTCACCCAACTCCCAATTCTTTTCCCATCTGGCAGCCATCAGTTTGTTCTCTGGAGATACATTTCAAAAAGCAAACAAACTGAATTGAAATCATAGCCAACTTATTTTTAGTCTCCGTTTTTTACTTAGCAATATATATCTTGAACATTTTTGTGTGTAATTAAATATTCTACAGCTTGATTTAAGATGACTGCCTAATGGTCACTGCATAGTATGCTATAATTTATTTAATTGCTTTTTCTTATTGAACCACTAGATTATTTTTTATTATTAATTTATTTTTATTACTAGATTATTTTTTTAATTAAGAAAAATGCTGCAGTGAATAAAGTACCTGGCATAGTATTGGACCAAATGTTTATTCTTTCATTCTTTCAGCAAGCCTTTATTTTATTTTACTTTTTTTGTTAATCCTCACCTGAGGATATTTTCTCCATTGATTTTTAGAGAGAGTGGAAGGGAGGGAGGGAGAGAGAGAGAAAAAAAAAATTGATGTGAGAGAGGCACATTGACTAGTTGCCTCACACATACACCCCAACCAGGGCTGGAAATCAAATCTGTAACCCAAGTACGTGCCCTTGACTAGAAACCGAACCCAGGACCTTTCAGTCTGCAGAGCTGACGTTCTATCCACTGAGGCACACCAGCCAGGGCTCATAGCAAGCCTTTAAAATAATCTATTTTTCAAATTTAGCAAGTGATAAAGGTCTATTCAGTGAAATAATGAACTATAAATTATTTATATATACACTAAATGTCTCCTCCGTACTGTTGAACTGTACTGGAAGACTTACTTTTAGTGTTCTTAGCCCATGATTCCAAAATGGGTTATAGGTACCATCTTGGTTTGCCTGGGACAGATGTAGTTTATGCTTGTTATAATTATTATCAGTGCCTGTCTTATTCTCAAGAGTGTTTCAGTTTGGGCTAAATTATATGATCTCCCTAGTTATTGGGACTATAAATCAGGCAATACAGGAAGCCCCAGAATGAGCATGTTATACTCCATGGTAAGTAATGGAAAGCATTTCATTTATATGATGAATATTTATTAAATATTTATTGTGTGCTGGTACTTTTCTGGATGCTAGGAATACGTTATGCATAAAACAGACAAATATCAATGCACTCAATCTAGTGCAAAGAGAGAGAAAATAAATAGAATGTTCAAAAGTGATGAGTGCTGTAAAGAAAATGTAGAAAGAAAGGGAAGATAGGAAGTATTGTGGAAAGAGATTGTGGTTTTAATCAGTCGGTAAGAGAAGGCTTCAGTGTGGTAACATTTGAACTAAGACTTGAAGTTGGTGAAGGAGTGAGCTTTACAGTTATCTGGGGAAAGCATTCCGGGCAGAGGAAACAGCAAGCTGGAGGGTCCTGAGGTGGGAATGTGCCTAGCTTTTAGGAAAAGCAAGGAGGTCATTGTGAGTAGAAGTGGGAGGGTGAGATGTGAGTGAGGTGTAAGGAGAGGAGATAGCTCTTTGGGTTTATGTGGAGCAAGATGTGAAACTATTAGTAGGTGTGAGCAAAATAGTGATATGGTGACTTAACTTTAACAGAATCACTTTGGCTGCTATGTATGAATAGACTAAAGACCGACATAGGTGAAAGGAGACTATTGCTGTATTAAAGCCAAATTGGATATATTATGTAGTAGAAAAGACAGAAGCCTAGACCTTCATTATAAAAACATGGACATTTAAATAATTCTTTTTAGCCCAGCCAGTGTGGCTCAGTGGATTGAACGTCATCCCATGGGCTAAGAGGTCCTGATTCGATTTTTGGTCAGGGCACATGCCCAGGTTTCGGGCTCAATCCCTAGTGGTGGGGTGTGCAGGAGGCAGCCAATTGATGTATCTCCCTCAACATCGATGTTTCTCTTTCTCTAAAAAAATCAATAAAAACGTATGTATTTTTTTAATTATTCATTCTAGCTTATGGACTTTTCAGGGTCTTCCCCAAGTCCTCAAAGTATATATATTTATTAATCTCTGCCTTTACTAGTATTTTCTAGCATTTGAAATGAATGTTCTCTTCTGCTGTCAGCTCTCTTCTCCTTCAGAATTTGAGGATTTTGCATTCACTTTGGTTGTCGGGAAGTTTTACTGTTGTTTGAAAATTGTCAAAGTTCTGTAGTGACTGGAAACTAGTGGACAACAGCAACCCTGTCATTGTACTACACAGCTTTTGGTATTGTTAATCACATACACAATAACAAAACATGCACATAAACACTTCAATACATTTAGTGATAAAAAGCCCTATAAACAAGGTTCCTAAAATATTTCATTGCATCTAAACATCACTGAGTATAAGATACACCATTTTATGTACTACTCAGATGCTTCCAGCTATACTATGATGCAGTGCTTTCTCATTATCTAAAGTTTTTCTTTTATACTTAGTGAAAGTGTGTCAGACCTAATTAGACAAGTAATTGTATATCTCTGGTACGTACTTAAAAAGGAAATGTACTGAGAGGTCCTGGTTCGGTTCCTGGTCGGCACATGCTCGGGTTTTGAGCCTGATCCCCAGAAGGGGACGTGTAGGAGGCAGCCAGTTGATGTCTCTCCTTCACATCGATGTTTCACTCTCGCTCTCTTTACAAAAATCAATAAAAACATATTTTTTAAAAATGATGTTTTGGGGGGAAAAAACTTTTCTGTTTCTTCTGTGAAGGTGCTTTGAAAATGTCTTAAACTTTTATACTATATAGAGTTTGTGATAACTTAACGAAGTAGTTGATGCTTGGCCTAGATATAGAAATAAAATCTGATGATTCAAGTATGTAGTTCTCTTTTGTATCTAGTGGTTTATCTCATTTTGTATTATTGCTTCTCTTATTTTAACCATGTATATTTTTAAAAGAGCTTGTATTTATTTCAAAGTAGCAATTTATCTGCTGTCAAGGTTAGAGGATACCTTTGGTAATGGAACAATTTAAAAATATGTATTTTTTAACATTCCTAAGAGCCTTAGTAGACCTCCTTTATGAGGGAATACTGTGAATATACAATACATAAAACTTTCCCAAACCTGTAAGATTGTGTATCTCTTGGGGGAGGAAATAATTTTCAAGAAGATTACATGCCATCTAGTGATCATAGCCCAGATTGTTATTTTTTAAATTTAGCTTCATTGTGTTGTATGTAGGCAAAGACAATGTATCTGTTAGTATGTAGTAATTCCAGAGTAGTAGAAATTCTGTGTATGTGATTTTGGGACTTAGCAGTTTTGTCTGTTAGTTCAAGAGATGTATGTGAGTTATAACAACTTGATGGGGTTTTAATTATTCTTATCATGATTTTAATTACACCTATTCATTTGTAACTTAATTCATGTTTTAGAATTTGAGTTTTTTAACTTAGAAAAGTATAAAATATATTCTCATTAGTTGTAACTGTAAATTGTTTTTTCCTTGATAGGTGTTAAAAAAGATATCGAGAAGCTTTATGAAGCTGTACCACAGCTCAGTAATATGTTTAAGATAAAGGACAAAATTGGAGAAGGTAATTTGGGGATATATTTTACTATCTTTTTAAGTTTTTGTTTTTTTCTTTTTGTTTTCCTTGTTTAGTCTTGATGTTCTTTATTATTTCCTATTGAATAATATACTCCTTTTAAAAATATTGAGACCATGTTTATATTACTATATTATAAGTAGTAATATAATGGTAACAGCTTTTCTTTTTTCCCTGGAAAGAATGGCAGAATAAATAAATGTTTACAGTAAAATGAACAGCGCTGTTTTAATCTTTATACTTTTATATATCACCCTGACCGGTTTGGCTCAGTGGTTGGAGTGTTGGCCCTTGGACCAATGAGTTATGGGTTCGATTCTGGTCAAAGGCACATACTTTGGTTGCGGTTCATCTCCGGCCCTGGTGGGGTTGTGCGGAAGGCGGAACCAGTCACTATGACTCTATCACACTGATACTTCTCTCTGACTCTCTCTCTCTCTCCCTCCATCCCACTCTATCTGATAAGAAGAAGAAAAATATCCTTGGGTTTATAAAATTTTAAAAAGTATTTATATATTAATAATATATTATTAATGATAATTACTAAAAATAAAAAAATTAAGATTCAAATGGAGAGATTTGATAAAAGGAAGCCAAATCTTTATCTTATTTCTCTATTGCATTTAGAAAGAATTGTGCATTGAAACATACATGAAACCTAAGATGGCAAATGATGATAAGAAAGTGGTACAATATTTATAGGATGGTCATTATTAACATAAATGCCATTGAAAGACTGACAGTCGCCCTGGCCGATGTGGCTCAGGTGGTTAGTGTCATCCTGTGCACCAAAGTGTTTTGAGTTCAATTTTTAGTCAGTGCACATATCCAGGTTGCAGGTTTGACCCCCAGTTGGGCGCATATGGGAGGCAACAAATCGATGTTTTTCACATTGATATTTGTGTCTCTCTCCCTCTCCCTCCCTCTCTTTCTAGAATCAACAAAAAACATATTTTGGGGTGAAGATTAAATTTTAAAAAAAGAATGACAATCACTTTGATTCAAATGAGTTTGAGAAATATACTGTGTATAGTTCCCTTTTGATTATTCATGATGAGCACATTAAAGGCTCTGGAAAATTTTGTAGTAAAAATATCAATTTGTTTTAACTCAGTATTTCTCAAGTTTAATAGATCACCAGATTTTTTTTCTCTTTAGTTTAATGCTAAATTTAAAAGCCCAGGTGTTTTATTTATTTATTTTTCCCTAAGACTATTATTTCTACTTCTAACAGACAAGTATCCAAGTCTTAAGAAAGTAATTTCAAATAACAATATTTTGGAAAAATACTTATTAGAATGGGTCATGGCATTATGCTAACCCAGTCAAATAGATTTACTATAGAGCTTTGATTAAATTAATATAAAATTCCCTAAAAAACAGAAGAGAGTTAAAAATTTATTAAAAATTTAAAATAAGTTGTATTCACAGATGTGTTTGCTCTTTGTGTTCTTTGTCATTAAAATAATGATTTTTATAATTTTATCAGTTTTAAACAGTTTTTATTATCTATTTTAACATTGTTTTATTAATATTTTTAAAAAACAAATATTGAAAAATCGAATAACTTGTTTTACAGGCACTTTCAGCTCTGTCTATTTGGCCACAGCACAGTTACAAGTAGGACATGAAGAGAAAATTGCTCTAAAACACTTAATTCCAACAAGTCATCCTATAAGAATTGCAGCTGAACTTCAGTGCCTGACAGTGGCTGGGTAGGCAGTTTAAAGACATTTTAATTGGACTGGCTACATGTAATTTTTAAGACTTTTAGGTAGCTATCTATCTATTAGGGATGGTGAGATTGTCCATTAATTAAGCATATTCTTCCGTCAGGTATTTGCAACTTGCTAGTACTTTTTCTCTAACCTTGGAATGGTTGGTTAAATTTATATTAATTTTTGGAGTGGATTTTCCTTGAGTCTAAGCTTGACTTCCTGCTCTTTTACCACTTTTTTCCCCCCTTATTTTTCTACCAAATCATAAACCTTGGCACCCATGGTCTAGATATTTGTTTTAAATCTGGGGAATTTGTCCTGGCCTGGTGGCTCAGTTGGAGTGTCATCCCATGCACCAAAAGGTTGAGGGTTTAATTCCCAGTCAGGGCACATACCAAGGCTGCAAGTTCAATCCCCAGCCCTGGTTGGAGTAGTACGGGAGGCAACCAATCAGTGTTTCTCTCTCTCTCTAAACATATCCTTGTGTGAGGATTAAAAAAAAAAAAAAAACACGTGGAGAACTTAGTATTTTACATCTCTCCTCCAATAGACAGCCTCATCTCATTTTCTTTTGAGGAACAGAATCATTTGGCATGCCTTTCTCGTTGGTCTCTCTCTCTCTCTCTCTCTGCTAGGTCATTCTTATCAATACACAGACATGATCTGGTATCTCTTATCTCCCCTTCCATCTCATTTTCAGCTGCTCCATCATTCTTTGCTCCCCTTTAGTCAGACTTCTCAGAAATTATCTACATGTACTGTTTTTACTTCCACAAACCCTCCCCCTCCTTCACTACACATAGGTGTGGCTGCTCTTCTATATGTTAAATGGAAACTCCTTTAGATAGAGTCACCAATGACTTCATTTTGTCAGTTCCTGTTCACATGAACTCCAGGCAGTGTTTAATGTAATTGATTTGAACCTATCATCTGACTTTCATGCTGCCTCAGACTTCTTATTTTCTTCCTGCTTTATTTGGCCTTTCAATTTCAATGTTCTTTGCCAGCTCTTCCTCTTCTACCTGACCCCTAAATGTTGGAATTACTCAGTGCTTGATCCTGGGCTTTCTTTCTTAGTCCGGACTCTAGGATCATGTATTTCCACATGACTTTCTCTTCACAGCAATGATTCTCATAAATATATCTAGCTGCAGACCTCTCAGCTGGGGATTTGTATATGTCCACCTACCTATTTCATTTTCCATTTGTCACTTTCCATTTCGGTACCTAATAAACATCTCAAATGTAATATGCCAAAAACTAAAGTTTAATCCATCTTTGCCTACCAAAAAAAATCATATCACAACTGGTTTTCATCTACCCATCTCAGCAAGTGGCACCACCATCTCTGTCCAACTGCTCAAGCCAGAAACTGAGTGCATCCTCAATTTCTCCATTTTTCCTTCTAAACCACATTCATCACCAAGTCCTGGCCATTTTGCCTCCAAAATATATCTACAAACTCATCCATGTCTTTCTATTTTCTCAACCACTATTTTCATTCTAAACCTAGATTACTATAGTAGCCTGCTTCTCCTCTTTCCCCCCTAATCTCATGGTAGCAAAATAGCCAGAGTGATCTTTAAAGTATAAAAATATGTATGTATGTAATATAAATTGGATACTGTTACTTCAACCACTTAAAATCCTTCAGTGGTTTCCCAGGGTACACTGAAAAAAATCTGACCTTGTCCCATGTCTTCCCATCTTTCTCACTGTGCTACAGTTTTTTTTAGTTCCTCAAATTTGTCTCAAGAGCTTTCTTAACCTCAGGGCCACTGCCCATACCATTTCTTCATTTAGGAAGACCCCTCACAGTGCTGACTCGTCATCTCAGCAAGCGTGGCACCACTTCAAAGAGGTCTTCCTATTCTTTAAATTAAATTAGATTCTCCAATTTTTTTTTATTGTCACAGCACCTTTTGATCTCTTTAAAAGCTCTTCTAATCTGTTGTGATTTGTTAACTTGTTTATTATCAGATAGTAAATACCATGAGGGTAGAAGTGGTGTTAATTTTAAGTCACCATTGCATCTCTAATGTCTAACATAGTATCTAGCAAATAACAGTGCCCACTAAATATTTATAGAATGAGTGAACAAGTTTATTTCTTTATTTCTCCCTTCTGTTTATTATAAAAGACAAGAGGATGAGATGGGCTCTCTGAGGCATGATTACATACATCTTGTCCCTTGAATAAGATCATTTCTTTTTCCACACTTGAAATAGCTCCCTCTACCACTTTTTTTGTCCCCTGTGTGTCAAAACTCCATGCTAAAAATGTATGTGATCTTGCTTCCCTTCTAGCTTCCACTCTGGTTTTCCTTCTTTGTTTTGCCAAATATTTTAGGCAAATTGTCTGAAATGTTCAAATTCCATTGTATTCTATTTTTCCTCCTTAAATCCTGTTTTACCTCTTCCTTTCCACTTAAATTGCTCTCAGAAAAATTACCAGTTAATTCCTCCTTGCCAAACTAAAGCCTTCCCTCTGTTCTTATTTTCTTTGACCTCCATGCTGATCACCCCTTCTTTCAAAACTCCTCACTTGGGTGACATCTCTTTCTGGGCTTTCTACCCCTTCCTCCTTATTTCATCATCCAACTTGAGACTTTTCCAAAGTTTGGTTTTCTCATCTCTCCAATCATTTTCACTGCTGTATGTATCACTTCTCTGCATATTCACTGACTTTTCACTTAAGATTTAGTCCTGTATCTAGGTATTTTTATCAGCATGATGAGGTCTCGGTTTTGAAGCTTTTCCTGAATTCTGTACATATTTTCTTGGTATCCATGTTTTACTCAATTAGGCCCAAAGCCATGAATATCAACTTTACCCTATTTTCTCATCTTTTATGAGATGCAGTATAGCATAGTGATTAAGAGCATAGATCAGGAACAGGCTGCCTGATTCAGATCCTGGCTCCATGACATGCTACTTTAATGGGGAACTTCCTTAACCTCTCTGTGCCTCAGTTTTCTTACCTATAGAAAAGGGGGATGAAATAATAGCACCATTTTCAGGATTGTTTGAAGATTAAGTGAATTCGTTAATAGATGTGAAGTGCTTAGATCAGAACTTGGTATATTGTGAATGCTCAATAAATGTTAGCTATTTTTAAATTTATTTATTACTATTACCATCTTATCTGCTACTAATCTTGTTAATTCATTCTTATTTTTTTCTTCTCATTCTGTCACTTTTCCAATTAAAACTATAATTATCTCATGTTTGAATTATCATAGTAACTTCATACTGGTGCTGTTTTTATTTTTTTTAAAAACCTTTTTACAAGTCAGTTAAATGTGTATATTATTCTATGTGATGATAGTTTTAAGTTAGTCTTCTAGCATTATTTATGCATTGCTAAAATTGCGTTTTAAAAAAATAGGCATGAAGTTTCAGTTTATTTGACCTTTCCTCTAAAGTTCACTGTGCATTTTTCCACTAGGGGGCAAGACAATGTCATGGGAGTTAAATACTGCTTTAGGAAAAATGATCATGTGGTCATTGCTATGCCATATCTGGAGCATGAGTCCTTTTTGGTAGGTTTTGATATTTCTTGGATTTTTATTAACGAAATATTTAATTGAAAAAAATTTTGATCTTATTTATAACTTTATTTTAGGACATCTTGAATTCTCTCTCCTTTCAAGAAGTACGGGAATATATGTTTAATCTGTTCAAAGCTTTGAAACGCATTCATCAGTTTGGTATTGTGCACCGTGATGTTAAGCCCAGCAATTTTTTATATAATAGGCGCCTGAAAAAGTAAGTACAGAAAGTTACCAGAAAATATTTACACTCGAGTGAATTTGTGCTATTGGATCCATCTCCTACACATAGAACATACTACAACTACCATGCACAGATTTTGTCTGTTTCAGATTTTCATTGTAATCAGGGAAGGCAAACAGTGAAGAAGATAAAATTGCATTAGTAAAGTAATACACATTGTTAGATGTTCCCTGGCTCAGTGGAAGTGTCATGCAGCTAAAACAAATATAGAAAGCGTCTTGTCTTTTTTGACCTTATACATTTCTCTCTTATTTCTGGGTTTCATTTTTCTTTTCTAGTAAATGAGGGGATTAGATGATATGATAGCCAATTTCCTGTTTCAACATTAAGTTTTGGGTTTATGTATATTTTTTATGCTGATTATATGTATACAGTGAGGCACTGAAAACTTAAATATTGCTCTTCATTCAATGGATAGTATTAAGAGAGGTAAGAAGAATAGAACTATAACTTTCTTCCTTGGGCCTTTCTACTTTTGAGTTTTCTCTTTAATTTTCTTTAAATCAGAATTAAAACTATGATTTTAATTTATTTTTTTTAAGTTGTTTAATTAAAAATTATTTGCTATGATGACATCTCTGGCACCATTAGAAAAGAAAGGATTGTGTTTATATTCTTTCTTCCTTGTCTGCCTTGTCAGTACAAGCCACTGGAAAGCGGGGCTGAGAGGTTTTTGTGTATGTGTGTGATGGATCTTTCCTTAGTTTTCAATCCTAGCTAGCTCTTAAATCCTTACCTTGTGTGTAAAACTTATTTTTCTTTTTTTCAAGAATGTTATAAATTCTTAATTCGTCACCAAAAGAATTACAGTTTCTATATGAATATAATTTGAGTATATTGTGATGTTACAGAGAACTAAAAACTTACTTTTGTTTCTTAGGTATGCCTTGGTAGACTTTGGTTTGGCCCAAGGAACCCATGATACGAAAATAGAGCTTCTCAAATTTGTCCAGTCTGAAGCTCAGCAGGAAAGTCGTTCACAAAATAAATCCCATGTTATCACTGGAAACAAGATTTCACTGAGTGGGCCAGCAGCACCTAAGGAGCTGGAGCAGCAGCCCACCACAAAAACTTCTGTTAAAAGGCCCTACACAAATACACAAATTCAGATTAAACAAGGAAAAGATGGAAAGGTTCTACCTCTTTTGTCTCTTAAGTACTAACACTGTTTTAGAAATGTACTCTATCATCCAACAGAGGGGGATATAATACTAGGATAATACTTGCAATTTAAAATACATTTTTACACTTGTCATATATCCAATTGATTAGATTTTTACTAAGGTTTGTAATAGCTTGTTTTTAAAACTGAAGTTTATGTGGCAGATTTATGATGTCTTTCTCATTACAGTTATATAACAAAAATGGAAAATAATAAATTTTCCCTGCATGTTTTAAAGTTCAGAGTAATTATCTTTTTTACGGGAAAGCATTAGTTACAGGGGAACAATTCTGAAGTGTCTATCTCCATTTTAGCTGCACAGCAAAATGTAACATCCATGCAGGTGGTTTTTGAATTTTTCATATACTTGTGGACTATGATAACATTGTATGGGTGTTAAAGAGTTCTGTCTAGACTATTTTCTCCTTTCGCAGAAGTGTTTTGGTGCCTGAGAATGACTTGGATGCAGCTGTTTTTGTTTCATGTCACTTAACTCTTTCAGAACTGTGGCAGAGTACAGCTGGCAGAAAGTGTTACAGATATAATCCTTATTTTCCTTGTTTTTGTTGGTATTGTAGGATGGATCTGTAGGCCTTTCTGTCCAGCGCTCTGTTTTTGGAGAAAGAAATTTCAATATACACAGTTCCGTTTCACATGAGAGCCCTGCAGTGAAAGTAAGTAATGGAGCTTATTAGTGCAATCATCAGTTAGCCGTACACTGAAGAGGATGTAGGGACTGGCAGGATTCGCATGTATTATCAGGAAGTTTTTAAAAGTACAGTTTTGCTTTGAGTATCTAGTCAACACTTTTATTTTCTCCAGTTTTGTCTGAACTTTTCTGGTGGAATTTTTTATTAGCTGACTGTTGCTCTTAGTCTAAAGGAACATCTGGATCATTAAGGTCTTTTCTCTCACTGACTAGAATGTTGAGTTCCCACAGCTAACACATTTTTGACACAGTTGATAGCGTGAAGATGTTTGTAAAGTTTATAAAATTGTCACCAATGTTAAATGGTTTTAAATTGACTTAAGATATCCTGTTGTAGCTAGCCAGCTTGAGCAACAAATTAAAACTCTGATTTTAGACAATGTAATGGTGCAGTTTACAGTTCTGAAATGGAGTTAGACACTAGACCATACCTTTATATTTTTGTAACATATCAGGAAAAGTTTTAATAAATGTCATATATTTATCAAACTAGAACTAATTAGTAATTTTTTTTTTTAATCCTCACCTGAGGATATGTTTTACTGATTTTAGAGACAGAGGAGAGAAGAGAGCAATATCAATGTGAGAGAGAAACTGGTTGCCTCCTGTATTTGCCCCCACTGGATGTGCCCTGACTGGAAATCGATGTACAGGATTATGCTCCAACCTACTGAGCCATACCAGCCAGGGCGAGTAAATGTTAATATGTTTATTCAACAAAAAAACTTTAAAGACCCTAAATTTTTTAATAGACAACTATTTGTTAAATCCAATAGCACTTTCAGCAGTTTTAAAGGTTATGCATTTTGCCATACTAGCATTTGAAGGCATCATGTTAAATGTCATGAAAATAGAAAATACAACTTTTCTTTTACAGCTTATGAAGCAGTCAAAAACTGTGGATGTACTATCTAGAAAGTTAGCAACAAAAAAGAAGGCTGTTTCTACAAAGGTTATGAATAGTGTGATGAAGAAAACTATCAGTTCTTGCCCAGCTAGCCTGACCTGTGACTGTTATGCAACAGATAAAGTTTGCAGTATTTGCCTTTCAAGGTAATGTATTTTTACAGTACTATAAAATCACCAGCATGCTGCTAGACTAGATTAGAAATTGCATCGATTTTGTTAGTTGATTTAGTGAGTGGAAGAGAACAGTTCTGTGAACTCTATGGGCACTGATACAGAGCAATACCTTGAAGAGCAAACGATAATTATTGTCATATAGTGTTCATTTGACATGCGTGTGCTCTTTGGGAAACACACTTGTTCTTATTTGCAAATAATTTTGATGGAGGAATAGCCTTTTTGGAATCTCAGAATTGCACATATTGTTTGTTGATTTAATCTCTTATTTCCTTTCTTTATTCTTGCCCATATAGAATAACCAGAAACAAAGAATAAAACTCTTCTCTCACTCCCATTCCCAACTCTCTGTCACATAAATTTTTCTTTTCCTTTGGGACTTGGCTTTCAGAGCCTTTCCCAATTAACTCAGTAAATGAATTAAAAGTATATTAGTGAATAAGTATATTACTCTAAACAGAATAAGTGTTCATACCTCTGCATTCCTGTTGAATTCTATTTTTCTATTATGGCTCTTATCATCTACTGCCTCTTTTTATATCCAGAAGTTACTCTAAAACCTTTCTGGAGTAAGACCTAGGAACTAGTAGAGATGGTGGGGAAGGATCTGTGGAAGCAAAATTTAGGATTTTCATCGCATTAGATTATCATTTTACTTTATAATAACATTTATATAAATATCAAGGTGGGATGTACTGTGAATTAAATTGATAAATGTTATTTTTTGGTCTTAATTAAACTTTAACATAACTAGAAAAATCTTATTTCGTCATCATAAGGCGACAGCAGGTTGCCCCTAGGGCAGGTACACCAGGATTCAGAGCGCCAGAGGTCTTGACAAAGTGCCCCAATCAAACTACAGGTATGTTGCTCTAGAAGTACAGAACTCAATTAAAATTGATTGTTCCCAGGTGTATCTTATTTTATTATCTTAATCTATTTCTGACTAATATTTGAGCTCTTCTGCAAATGATTCTAGCAGTGCAGTATTTCCATTTTTTAAAGATAATACTAAGGTATTGCTTCTCAGCCTTGGCTAAGATCAAATGTAGTATCTGCTCTTATCAGTTAAAAGATAATACTATATATGAACATTTCTAATCCTAGTGGTTTTTAAAAAAAACAGTTTTTTAATAGATCACATTTTGCTTATTTACAAGATGATTTTACCAGGAATTCTTTTAACATCATCTTTGTGGGGAATAAATTGTGTTTAGTAGTCTTTGCTAACTTAAGACTTACAGAATTTTACCTATTTGCTTAATACCTCAAAAGTTTTCTGTGATGCACATATGATTGTGTATTTCATTAAAATTACATTTTGTTATTGTGATAACAGTGTAATAGCATTAAAAATATTTTTGAGAAATAAGAGTGTTGTCATGGAGCTGAAACTCGGAAACATCTTATTATTAAATAGATGAATCCTACTATTCACTTGGATTTATGGACATTAATGAAATGCATACATTCATTGTGTGTATTCTGTACTTGCTGATATAAAAAATGACTAAAACTGTTCATACTCTAAGAAGGACACACACTCAAATAATTATAAAATAACCCAGTGAGTATGGTTATAACACTTTATGCATGGTATTTTAGGGATACCTAACTGTCCTACTTGAAAGGATTATGGAAGAAAGTTTATGAAGAAAGAACCTCTGAGAAGACATTGTAAATTGGGTTTGGGGGTTGGCATTGAGGCATGAGCAGAGGAGCTCAATAAACAGCATGCTGTAGTCATACAGGAAACAAACATTTAGAGTACCTAGAATGTAAGATGAAAGTCGAGGAATGATAAATAAACCTAGAAATTGGTAGACATGGTCAGATCACACTTGTTAAATGACTTGGACTGTATTCTTATGGTATTAACAAGTTATGAAGGAAAAGAAATGGTAATAATTTTTTTCTAAATGGATTTTTCTGGCATGTGTGCAGAGAGAATAGATTTTGGAGATGGTGGCCTGCAGTGGTCCAGGTGAGAGATGATGAAAGCCTGTATGAGGGCATTAGTAATAGGAATGAAAACATGGGAAGGATTAGAAAGGCAGAGCATGGTGGGTACGTGAATGTGAGATTTGGGTATGGGGTTGGTGAGGAGAAGGGCATCCAGGATGTTTATCAGATTCCTAGCCTGAGGCACTTGGATGGGTACCAGTAACTGAGGTGGAGAATAAAGAAGCAGCAACTGATTTATAGGGAAGGGTAAGGTTGGGAGCATTAACTGGTTTGAGATATTTTTGGGACATTCAGATAGAAATGTCCAACAAAACGAGTAAATCTTAAGTTTATAGAAGTCTAGTTCGGAAATTCATTTGCGTGTCGTCATTGTATAAATGGTAACTGTAGCCACGAAATGGATGGCCCAATAAGGGAGAATGTAAGGGGGAAGAGGTTGGAGCTCTGGGGAACCTCAGCACTTAAGGCTTGGAGAAAACTGATGGAGCAGGCAGAGGCACAGGGAACCAAGAAAGGCAGATGATACAGTGGCCAAGGGAATAGAGAGCTAATTCGGTGATCCTGAGAGGTCAGCAATTAGGAGAGAAGGTGTTGCCAAAATTTTTTAAAAAATGTTTCTGAGCATGAGGCTGAGCTAGCCTTAATTTTAACTGCCAGAATTCTGGAGAACAGTTTCTATAGTGAAAGTTAGGGTTAGCATGTGGCTGAAGAAGAGCTATTACTGTTCAGTGCTTTTCACTAAAACGAACCCCTTTTACTACTGTGGTGTATAATTTTTGAGGAACATGTAGATTTTATCCCCACATAGTTGTTTTTGGATTTCTTTTGACCTTCTAAAATGTGCATGTACTTAGTGTTTTCTAATGATGAAATTCCTTTTAAATGTACCAAGAATGTTGCTAAAGGAGAAGAAACCCCACCATTGTATTGTGTATTAAAGATATTAGACTAGAGAGTCTCAATTCTGAAGTTACATTAAAAGCATCTGGGGAACTTTAAAAAAATATACTGAGCCCTGATCGGTTTGGCTCAGTAGTTAGAGCATTGGCCTGTGGTCCAGAGAGACCCGGGTTTGGTTCCCACTAAGGGCGTGCTCCTCAGTTTGTCCCTGGCCCTGGATGGGTCATGCAGGAGGCAGCCACTCGATGTGTCCCTTTCACGTCTATGTTTCTTTTTTTTTTTAATCCTCACCCGAGGACATTTATTGTTCAGGTAGAGTGGGAGGGAGAGAGAGGAAGAGAGAGAGAGAAACATCGATGTGAAAGGGACACATCGAGTGGCCGCCACCCGCACGACCGACCAGGGCCGGGGACAAACTGCAACCAAGGCACACGCCCCCAGCGGGAACCAAACCCGGGTCTCTCGGGACCACAGGCCGACGCTCTAACCGCTGAGCCAAACCGGCCAGGGCACGTCGATGTTTCTTTTCTCTCTCTCTCCCTCCCACTCTATCTGAACAAAAAATGGAAAAATGGCCCTGGCCGGTTTGGCTCAGCGGTTGGAGCGTTGGCCTGCGGTCCAGAGAGACCCGGGTTCGGTTCCCGCTAAGGGCATGTACCTCGGTTGCAGTTTGTCCCCGGCCCTGGTTGGGTCGTGCGGGTGGCAGCCACTCGATGTGTCCCTTCACATCGATGTTTCTCTCTCTCTCTCTCTTCCTCTCTCTCCCTCCCGCTCTATCTGAACAGAAAAATGTCCTAGGGTGAGGATTAAAAAAAAAAAAAAAAAAAATGGAAAAATGTCCTCGGGTGAGGATTAAAAATATATATATATATATATTGATTCCTGAGCCCTACTCCAGAACAATTAAATCAGAGTCTCCGAGGGATTGGGCCTGGGCATCAGAATTTTTAAAGCTCTGAAGATGATTTGAGTGTATAGTAAAGGTTGAGAACTACTGATGTAGATGATAAAATTTTGGATTTGGGGATTTTTTAAAAGTTTGTTTTCTGTTACAGCAATTGACATGTGGTCTGCAGGTGTCATATTTCTTTCTTTGCTCAGTGGACGATATCCATTTTATAAAGCAAGTGATGATTTAACTGCTTTGGCTCAAATTATGACAATTCGTGGATCCAGAGAAACTATCCAGGCTGCTAAAACTTTTGGTAAGCAGTTTTATATTCTAGAACAAAACAAATGCCTTTGATTCTCTCCCACAAATTACTTAATAAATTATTATGAAATTCTCTTTGGAAATAAACATTCTGTATTCAGAAAGTTCTCTCATGTTGGATAGAAAATTTCCCAGATGCTTAAAAATTAGTTGCATTGTGTAGGGAAATTTTTCATCACTTCTATACATATAATTATTTAATCTTATCAAGCACAAAGTACTATATTTATCCAATAGTTCAAGTTTAACTCTATAATCTTAAATAAAAGAATAAGGAATAAGTCCCTGTAGTTATGGCTTGACTTTATTACATACATATTTTAAAATTTGTTTATTGTGTATTTATTATGCATTGAGTGCTTTGGGGCTTGCCTTAAATTATATTAGTCTATACTAACAAGTAAACGGTTAATTATAATACAGTGGTAATAGGGATGATAGAATGGGCGTTAGTTGTCAGGGTTACTAAGAATAGGGTTACTGTAGCAGAGAAGAAAATGAACAGAACACCTTTACTTAGTATTATTGTAAGCATATATTGGACATGGGAAATCGTCTCTTTAGCTACACAAAGTTCTTGTAATTCCAGACTGGGATATACAGTGTACATCATAGGGCACCTGAGAATGATCTCAGCCTTGCTCCGGCCAGACACTTGAACTCAAATACCCATGCACATTTATGTTAATACTTTCCAAAGTGGATGGATGTGATTGAGTCAGCGTGTTACCACACAATATGAAACACCTTTTTGGGATGGAATTTCAGTCACCCCACTTCAGGAGTCGCTTGGCTGCCTTGTGCCCAGCCAGAGGATCAATAGGTCTTTTGTTTTGTTGGGTTTTGTGTGTGTGCTTTTTTGGGACATTCAAATCTATTCTGCTTTATTAATGAAAATAATATTAAGTTCAAACATAGCCTAAATAAAGCATGACAAACCCACTGTATGACCATTTGTCAAAATACACGTGACAGACATTCAAGAAGTGTTTGTGTTCTTCTGATACAATTATCTGAGAGCTGTGCTTGTTTTGGTTTTCAGAATGGAGGCTAATTATTTAGTAAAAATGGATGTACAATAATTTTATTCAGTTAGCGATGAGTTGTCTATACTTTCTCAGATCTCTCTCTGAAGACTTTTTTATTTCAACCACACCTACTAATATTCATGACACCTATCCATGGCTACTGTTAAGATACATCAGAATTTTAGTAAACCACCACTTTATTGTCATTAAAGAGAGATAAACCACAGAACTTATATGCATGTATGCATGAACTGTGGACATGGACAACAAAGCTGGGGACAGGGTGGGGAGGGAGAAGGAGGGGGAATGAATGGAGAGAAAAGAAACATCTGTAACAAAAATTAATTTTAAAAGCAATTCATAAATTGGGTCTTAATCAGGGGTGCGAAGTTATCTGAGGAACTTCAAGACATACATGTGCTTATCTCACTCCATCCCTTCCTGCAAAATATGATTCAGATAAACATGATCACAGGAAGGGTCCAGGCTTGTTAGTTTAAAAAAACAAGTGATTTGGACTGAGACCTACCTGTGACGAAGAAAATAATTGCCCCTTGCCTAGGCACCAGTGCTGTGGTCTCATTCACCAGAAAAACTTAGTGGCGGTTTAAAAGAAAGCCTCATAATAGAGGCCTATCCAAAAATGTCTTCGTAGCAAAGTCAATCCACTCCACAGTTTATACCTTTTATATTAAAAGAAAAAAATATTTTTTCCTTTTCCTTCTACCTCCTCCATCCCCTTTCCCTCTTGTAATCACCATAATGTTATCTATGAGGTATTTTTTGTTGTTAATCCTCACCTGAGGATATTTATTCATTGATTTTTAGATTGAGTAGAAGGGAGGGAGAGAGAAAAAGAAACATTGATGTGAGAGAGACACATCAGTTGATTGTCTCCCACACAACCCTAATCAGGGCCAGGATTGAATCTACAACCCAGATACGTGCTCTTGACTGGGAATCGAACTCGTAACCCTTTGGTCCAAGGGCCAGTGTGCTAACCCCTGAGCAAAACTAGTCAGGGCTGTTTATTTTGATCATTAGGTTCCCTATATGAGTGAAATCATGTGGTACTTGTCTTTCTCTCACTGGCTTATTTCACTTAGCATACCACTCTCCAGGTTCATCCATGCTGTTGCAACGGGTGGATTTCCTTCTTTTTTACCACCAAGTAGGATTCCGGTGTGCAAGTGTACCACAGCTTTTTAATCCACTCATCTACTGATGGGCACTTGGGCTGCTTCCAGATTTTGCCTGTTGTAAATAGTGCTGCAATGAAATAGTCGTGCATATATTCTTTTGAATTCGTGTTTCAGATTTCTTTGGATATATACTCAGAAGTAGAATTACTGGGTCATAAGGCAATTCCATTTTTAATTTTTTGAGAACTCCATACTGCTTTTCACAGTAGCTCTACCAGTCTACATTCCCACCAACACATCCTTGCCAACACTTGTTTGTTGACTTATTTTTGATAGCCATTCTGACGGGTATGAGGTGATATCTCATTGTGGTTTTAATTTGCATTTCTCAGATGATTAGTGACGTTTTCTCCACATCCTTGCCAACACTTGTTTGTTGACTTATTTTTAATAGCCATTCTGACAAGTGTGAGGCGATATCTCATTGTGGTTTTAATGTGCATTTCTCGGATGATTAGTGACGTTGAGCATCTTTTCACATGTCTGTTGGCCATCTGTATGTCTTCTTTGGAGAAGGGTCTGTTCAGGTCCTTTGCTCATTTTTTTAATTGGATTGTAAAAGAAAATTTTATCTAAGGAAAGAAAATAAGGTGAAGTAATACATACATATAAGGGAAGAGTGACCATGAATGGAAAGCAAGAGTGATACCTTGGAAATTGTATTGAAGAGTATGTTTATTTTCAGCTAATTGAGAAAACTTCCATGTATTATAAACAAGTTTATGAGAAGTTTTTGAACATGAGAAAACCAAAACATTTTGTTGAACAGCTAAATCTCCCCCATCTGTATTCTCAGTTATAATGAGGACGTTCATTATAACCTCAGTTATAATAAATGTCTGACACCAAAACATTCCAGGGCAAGTGTCCTGTAGCAGGCAAGGGTTTCTGGAGATTTATTATTGTAATGCTGTTCTCCTGTTAAAAACACAATGCTATATAACACTTGTCTCAGTTTTATTAGTATGAAAACATAACATTCTATAGTTATACTATAACTTTTGAATATAGGACTCAAAACTTTAGCAACCACAACTGTGTTATTTTTTATGGTTCGAAGAAATGACTTGCCTAGGATTAGCAGTGAGAGTACTTCTAATTCTCTTAGCTTGTCTATAATGTGCCCCACTGTTCTCAACCATTAGACCGGGCCCCACGATAGACTGTCATTTATGTACCTGTTGAATTGTGTCAAATAAATTCAAGATACAAGATATTTTTTAATTGAATGTATCAGTTTAAATTATTTTCCCTGAATCATGTGTCCTCTCTTTGGATATGTAAAAAAAGTATTTTAGGCATATTATGTAACTTGAGTTGTAACATGTAGTTGTTTCATGACTTCAGAGTAGCCTGTAAATTAAGGAGTAAAACTATATGACTATTCTCCTCTGGCTATAATTTTCTAGAGAATAGGAATGATAAAATAGAATTAAAAGTAAAAAAGGGTTGGCATGTTGTATCTTCAACCAACTTAGTTGTTGGTGATTTATTTCCTTTGTCTCCTGCCTGCCTGCTGTGCCACCCTCCCTTTCACCCTGCCTCCGTACACAGATCAGAGTGTGTAAAGATAACTGTTATCTAGAGCTAGATTAATTAATTGCTTTAACAATCCATATTGTTGACATATACCTCAGAAAGGAATCTATACGCTGGGCTACTCATTGTTTCGAGCCATATTTCTGTTTAATAAGGAAATACAAGGCAAAAAAAAAACCCCCATATTGTCTGTTTATGTGCTTAACTTAGTTTTGTCTGTCTAATAGTAATCCTGTTGGGAAATTGTTTTAAAGACATTTTTAAAAACTGAGATCGTGTTTGTGTGTCATTCGTTCAGAAACATTTATTGGGGCTTTATGTGTGCCAGCTATTGTTGAGTCTCTGTTTTCACAGAGTTTAAATTCTAGAGGGAAGACAAGGTAAATATATATTGTTACACAGATCAGTAGTATTGAGAAAGATAAAAGGGGAGAGGAAGTGAAAAGGGTTCAACTGTTTTGGAGAGGTTGGTCAAGGACATAGCATCTGTAAGGATGCGATATTTGAATAGTGACATGAGAAGCTAAATAATGTCTTTTGTCCAGTCCAACAGGCATTGATTGAGAACCTGGTATGTACCAAACATTGTCTTGGTTTTGGGGAATCAAAGATAAATAAGATAATCCCTATTTTCAAAGAGCTCATAGTCTAGTAGGTGAGACAGACATATATTTTATCAGTTACAACACAGGATAGCAGAGTAATAGTAGAAATCTTCACAGGATGCAGAAGTTTAGAATGATCAACTATCTGAGAGGGTCAGGCTTCACAGAGGTAATTCCTGAGCTGAGTGGAGTTTCCTGGGCACATGAAGGAGTGCAGGGCATCTTGGCCAAGACAGGAACCATGTAATCAAATGCATATAGAAGCTGGAGCAGTCAGCAGGTCAAGTGAGTCCTTAGGCTAGTAAGTCACTGCTTTCTATTTACTATCTCCCACTTTGTGATTTGACCTTCAGCTGTGTAGTGCAAAACACCACTTAAAATAGCACGTGGTGCTCTGTCTCAAACTCAGTGTAAATATATCCATAAAGCAATGGTTGGACTTGCATGTTTCTTGTGAAGAAGGCTTCTGGTTTATTTAAATACTATATAAAAAATGTTTAATTTTTCTCTTATAGGCAAATCAATATTATGTAGCAAAGAAGTCCCCGCACAAGACTTGAGGAAACTCTGTGAGAAGCTCAGAGGTATAGATGCTAACACTCCCAAATTAACAAGTGATGTACAGGGGCCTGCTTCTCATGACCCAACTTTTTCAGAGAAGACTGATCATAAAGCTGCTCACCTCATACAAACACCTCAAGCACAGCACTCAGGGAGTTCATTGTATAAAGGGAACAGAGATGGCTGTGGGGGTTGTTTTGATGTGTGCACTGCCAATCTAGAAGGCTGGGACAAGGTGCCTGATGAAGCTTATGACCTGCTTGATCGACTTCTGGATCTAAATCCAGCTTCAAGAATAACAGCAGAAGAAGCTTTGTTGCATCCTTTCTTTAAAGATATGAATTTGTGTTGAGAGAGAACATCGATTGGCCGCCTCCTGCATGCCCCTCACTGGGATCTGGCCCACAGCCTGGGCATGTGCCCTGACTAGGAATCAAACCACTGAGCCACACCAGCCGGGCGCATTTGTTATATCTTTGATGAACACTAAAACTGAGAAAATGTTTAGGGGGATATCACTTAAAATTGAATTTAATTTATCTATTTTAAAAAGTATTTTGTGAAAGCATTTATTATGTGACTTGCCTTTTTTCTTTTTCTTTTAATGGTGTCTCTTGATTTTTTTTTTTTTGCCTTCTCTGCCCCCACCTTACACAGTCTCCTTGGAAATTATATGGTGCTTTCAAACAGAGTTTCTGGGTGCTTTTTTAAAGATTATATATGGTTATAGTTGGAAACTTAAAATAATGCATATGCTGGTTGATAAAGGGAATCCACAGGACCAAGGTAAAGATTTAGTCCAAAATTCTTTTTTCTCTCAATGTGTATGCTGTGTTTTTTTTTTAAATACTGTCTTAGGTATAATTAGGTAGCTGCTAAAAGGAAGAATGAACACAGACTTGAGAATATTACTGGAGACTTTTCCTCTGGAGCTGTCCAGATTTCTGTATTCTGTTTTGACTAAATTGGTCCTGTTCAGAGAAAGTTGATTACTGGAGTTTTGACTTGGGTGGGAAGAAAATAGATAGGCAAAGTAGAAAAGACCAAAGAGAAAGGTTTATGTATTACTATATTTCAAAATGACAGCATATCAAACTTTCTATGGGAAATAAGTTGGATGTGGCTCTGTCGAGAAGTTTTGTTTCATTAGAAGTCAGAGTAAAGAACCAGCTTAGGGACGTATAGCATTCATTCTATTGAGCATTGAAGTCAGTGTGTCTACCTACTCTGTTTGGTAAGTATAGTATGTATATAAACCATTACCATTGATCTGCTCTGTCTTAGCTCTAATCTTTTTAAAAAATACTTGAATGTTTTTTAATTTGTATGTTCAATAAAGTTACCCTTTTATAATTTTAGTCTGTTTACTCATTTAAAAAATATCTTAAAAAAAAAAAAGCATTGACCACTGGGAGTATTTTCCTTCTGAGATTAATGAATGTTCTCTCTTCAGCAAATAGTAGGTAGTAGATTTTTTAAAAAATTCCCTGGCTCAAGTAACACTATGAAAAAGAGAAATAGATTTAAAAAAAAAAAAAAATAGAAAAGTGCTCCCTCATTAACTTGATTTATAGAATATTTGTCAAATATAGAATATTTGTCAAATAGGCATCTCAGTAACTAAAATGAAGTCTTAGCTAAAAAATTGTTTTCTTAATGTGGCTCACAATCAAGTTAACATATTCTCAGAGGGAATTAACAGAAAGATAAATTTAACTACCAAAAGTGTGGGGAAGGAGACATTCTCTAAGAAAACTTAATATTCAAGGCTGTTTCAACTTTCCATTAATGTCACTTTTAGAATAGAACTTGGTTCATGTGCAGGGGGTCAGGGGTGTGTGTGTGAAGTAAGCTAGTGCTTTAAAAGATACCCAGTGTTGCCCTGGCTGGTGTGGCTCGGTTGAGCGTCAACCCCTGCACCAAGAGGTTCCGGTTCGATTCTGTCAGGGCACATGCCACAGTTGTGGGCTCGATTCCCAGTAGGCAACAGTGCAGGACCAGCCGATAGATGTTTCTCTCAGTGTTTTCCCCTCTCTTCCCCTCTCCTTTTCTCTAAAATCAACAAAAATATACATGCAAAGATATCCGGTGTTACAAATTGGTTCTCAGAGTATTTTAATCCCACTAGAGAATGTCACTTCAATTTGGGGTGCTGCATAGATAACAATCAGAAAGGATCTTCCATACGCATGTTCTTCGGGTGTTCAGCCATCTCAACACCATTTTATAACGACAGATCTCCCTAAAAGGTTTTAATTAGGCAAGATAGCCATTTTTAAGGAAAAATTAAGTAGTTAAGTAATTAATGTCATTTCCTATTATTATGGAAGTTACCAGAATATTCAGCTAGTTTTCATCTTCAGCTTTTAAAAATTATTGCGCAGCCCTGGCCGGTTTGGCTCAGCGGTTAGAGCGTCGGCCTGCGGTCCTGAGAGACCCGGGTTCGGTTCCCGCTAAGGGCGCGTACCTCGGTTGCAGTTTGTCCCCGGCCCTGGTCGGTTGTGCGGGTGGCAGCCACTCGATGTGTTCCTTTCGCATCGATGTTTCTCTCTCTCTCTCTGTTCCTCTCTCTCCCTCCCACTCTACCTGAACAGAAAATGGAAAAATGTCCTCCGGTGAGGATAAAAAAAAAAAAAATTATTGCGCAGATTAGAAATAAAATTATTAAGGGTGTTTTCATGTAAAAAGCCTCAGACATTTAGAACTATTGTATTAGTTTTTAAAATGGGCTGCAGCTCTCTAGCTTTTTTCCCCCACTTTTATTATTATCATTATTATTATTAATTGGTTTTGGGGTGTACAGCTTAGTGGTTAGACGATCATATACTTTACATAGTGTTCCTCAATATTTCCAGTTCCCCACTTTGCATTTTTAATGAAACATTTCCTTTTAAGGAGATGATTATGATTGTCTTAATGACGAATAAAAATGTGGCTCAAGAATGGTTATTTCAAAAAATGAAACTTAGTTTTCTTCAAAATCTGAACAAGAGTCATCAAGTGATGTTAATCTCATGTTTCTGGCATCTGCATTTTGGGAATAAAATGGTGTTACAGATGTCAAAATATTGATTGCATAAAATCTTGACACCCACAAAACTCGTAGGCTTATATCTTAGTAATTTCTGCTGTTTATATAATCTCAGCCCTACTCGTCACCGAGAAGTTATCTTAAACTGTGGCCAAATTTGGCGGGTAATGCTGTCTGCCAGGGTCTGCGGATACACTGTTTCCTCCCACGTGTGTGCTGTCTGTGGTCTAAAGAACACTAACACCAGGCAGAACTGTCAGCTCGGTTCAGATTTTTTCCTGTGTTCTTAGAACTGACGTTGCTGCATCCTAATTTTGTCAAGTTGTTTGAACTGTCTGCCTTTCTTGAAAGGTGGTTATTATCACCCATGTACTAGATAAGTAATCAGAAGTGGTTAATGCTTTGTCAAATTACAGCAAGAATTTCAACAGAATAACCACAGAGGTCAGTGCTAAGGCAAGTATTTAGAAAATAATTACATTTTAGATATCTAAAGAGAAAAGGCATGATCTTAGGAAAGCAACTACAAGTTGGGTAGGAAAAATTATGAAGATGCAGTTCAGAAAAGTGATTGCAAACGAGTTTGAACTCAGTTTGAAATGCTAATTTTTTTTCTCAGAAGAAAGTGAACTAAAAGAATACATTGTCCTTGATGTCTGTGTTGAATGCTTTAAAAATTTAACAAAATAATATTTGGAGAAGAATTCAAAAGGGTAAGCAAAAACTTATTTGGCAAGTGTGCACATAGCTTTTATACGGCAAGAAAGATGACTAGAAAACAGATGTCAGTGGTTTAGAATTTCGATTTAAGCATGCACCATTCGTAAAATGTCCTTTTAAATTTAACATTGTGCTGCCTGAGCCCTTCAGCAGATTCCATCTTGGACCCTATGAAGCAATTCTTTGAGGAGAGTAACAGGTTTAGCACAAGAAAATTTAATGCCGTCTTATGAAGGCAAATTAAGAATAAATACTTCTAGATTTAGAGGAGGCCAATATCACTCACTCCAGTCAGGAACCAGCATGAATCAGGGCTGGGCTTTGTCAGCTGGGGTGGGGTTGGCGGGTCAGTAGTACAAATCAAAATAAAAGAGTCATCTGATCATTTCTAATCAGACTTTTTGCATATGTCTCATCTATATCCTATGGGTTTGTATATGGGTTTATTTAATTATGTATTCGCCTTTTGTGTCAATCCCTTCTCTAACTTCTCTGAAGATCATAGCATATGATCTAGAAATGGCTCCAACTAGGACAAGACCAAGACAGTAAATCAGAAACAGATGTATGGCTCTGTGGCCTCACATTGTTATTTTAGCTCTGTCCATAAGCAAAAGGAGCAGGAGGCTGGGGAATCCAGCCACCTCTGAATTTCTCGAGACACTCATCTTAATGTTTTTACCCAGTAGAAGTTTATTTCTTCTGGCATGTTGCTGGTCTTCCTACACTCAAAGGTTCTGATTAAAAACAAAACCAGTCCCACCGTATGTGTGTGTATATGAGTAATCTTTAGACAAGTATTAACATTGCTCCTTTACACTTTCCCCAAGGTTTGTGATCTTAATGCCTGGTATTCTGAGTGTCCTTTGTGTCATTTTAATTTCTTATTTTGAAACTCCATAGATAAGGAAACTCTTAAATTTTTTTTTAAATATGTTTTTTTATTGATTTCAGAGACAGAAAGGCAGAGAGAGAGAGAGAGAGAAACATCCATCGGCTGCCTCGTGCATGCCCCCTACCGGGGTCGGAGCCCGAAACCTGGGTATGTGCCCTGAGCAAGAATCCAACCAGCAACCTTTTGGTACATGGGACAACACCCAACCGAGCCACACTGGCCAGGGCTCCTCACTTTTTTTTTTTTTTTTTTTATCATCCTCACCCGAGGACATTTTTCCACTTTTTTGTTCAGGTAGAGTGGGAGGGAGAGAGAGGAAGAGAGAGAGAGAGAGAGAAACATCGATGTGAAAGGGACACATCGAGTGGTCGCCACCCGCACAACCAACCAGGGCCGGGGACAAACTGCAACCGAGGTACGTGCCCTTAGCGGGAACCGAACCCGGGTCTCTCCGGACCGCAGGCCGACGCTCTAACCGCTGAGCCAAACCGGCCAGGGCGGGCTCCTCACTTTTATGTGTAAAAATAAACACCAGCATCTTACATTTTTGTTGTGTATTATAAGGAAACATTTTATGTTTGTTCCTACACAGTGTGACTGGACTCATACCTGGAATTTACTGAGTGGGTGTTCAAAGAATATTTGTTGAGTGAATTTATTTAAGTTACATTTAATTAATTTACTTTCTTGGCAAAATTTTAAGGCAAAAACCTTAATAAGGGTGCCTATTTTCCTAGGTTTGGTATAATTTATTTGCTAGGGAATGACACCAAATGGTAAGAAAAATAAGATGACTCATACCTTTCTACATAATCTCTTTCCTTCCCCCGCAATAAACACGTAATTTAAGTGAAGGCAAGATTGCCAGGCTTTAGATTCAGAATAGCCCTAACAGGGTCTTTCTTTGGACTTTTAGTGCCATTACCTACAATGCCTTTCCTTTCGTTGTTTTTTTTTTATCCTCACCCGAGGGCAGTTTTTCCATTTTTTGTACAGATAGAGTGGGAGGGAGAGAGAGGAAGAGAGAGAGAGAGAGAGAGAGAGAGAGAGAGAGAAACATCGACGTGAAAGGGACACATCAAGTGGCTGCCACCTGTACGACCAACCAGGGCCGGGGACAAACTGCAACCGAGGTACACGCCCTTAGCAGAAACCGAACCCAGGTCTCTGTGGACCGCAGGCCGACGCTCTAACCGCTTTCAATCTGTGTATCCCTGATCACTCCAATCCAAATGATCATTTCCTTGATTTCCTATACCCAGATTATAAACTTCTGAAAGGTAGAGATTTTCATCCACCCCACCCACCCCCAAAACACACACACACACTTATCACCACATTAGAGACTCAAGTACTCAGTCTGAACTTCAGTTTGACTACGAATCTGACACCAGAGGGAATATCCAAACCTCACCAGAATAATCCAGCCTAAGGACAGCCCCTTTTACTCCTAAACATCTACAGGATTGTACTGTTTTCCCTGGGTAGTCTGTTTTAAGATTTCCCAGCTCCCCACCCCCACCTCAGCCATATCGCTTGCAATTTCTCTCCACTTCAG